TTGCATGAAAATGTAAAATATGAAATGCAGATTATGCAATGAATTTAATGAGACTGTCCAACACATTGTCATGGATGCCCAGCTTTGGCACAAACACAGTATCTTAAGCGATATGATGGTGTAGCTCGATCATTTTATTACCGTCTTCGCCATGCTTGTGGTTTTGACGCAGAGGTCCATCCATGGTACGACCCAGAATATGTAGAGGGCGTCATGGAAAATGATAAATAAAAAATTCTTTGGAATAGGCCCGTTTACAGCCTTAGACGTATCCAGGCCAACAAACCTGATCTTGTCCTTCTTGATAAATCCAATGAAATCATTTATATTATTGAATTTTCTTTCCCTTTTGACACTAATGAGATTGAGGAAAAACATGGCAAATATGCGGACCTCGCTTTCGAAATGTCACGCTTGCATCCCAAGAACCAAGTTGTCCGACTCCCTATTGTTCTCGGTGCCTTACGTTTGGTACCTCCCATCTGTTGACTGACATTGGGAGAGTACCTTTGCTACCAGGTATACAGACCTTCTGACAATCTAGATAATGCAGGAGGCTGCAGCGTTGGGGAGTCTTCACATTCTCTGAAAAGTTCTGGGAAGTCCCATTCTCTGTCTGGGCTGCGTGGAGAGGGGGCAAGGGCCCTGAGCTGATGATGAGCCTAACCAGCTTGACTGTGCCAGGATCACCCAAACCCTCTTTGCTGCATTTTCTGTTTTAGTATGTACATACTCCGAACCTTTTGAGATATCTTTGAGTGTTTGGGTAAGTGTCAGCGTTCGTGTACTTAATGCGTTTAGGAACTCGTGGACAAACAGGATGCACGTCACATCCTTTGTTTGTTGAAACGTTTCTGTGGACATGACATTACATCGCCATGCCGCGCGGGATATTTCTCAATCCTGAATCTAATTCACTTCCGCGATCACCGCCTTCCCTTGCGTATTTGTTTAGCGTTAGGGAAGTTTATTTATCTGAGTACCGAATAGTTGGTCACGAATTTGCTCGGCCTTTATCTGTTTATTATTGTAATAATACCAATATTTATCACAACATTAGCTTCAACAAAACAATATACATCCCGCTCGAAACACGTGAATTACTGGTATCAGTATTAGTATTAGTA